AATAATGGATACACTGGCAATAAGTGGAAATAGAGATATAGCCAAAAGTAAATAGTGAACAGGTTTTGAGATGTTTGAAATAAAAATGTTTAAAACTGAGCTTAGAAAAATGAATGCACAACTGATTCAAAAATATTTTATTTCTGAATAAAGACTACAATGGCTACAGGTACATGTCATTGATGCCTGTGCTTAAACTTCCCAGTGAGACACTGAACAGAGAAATGGAGATGGAATAAAGAGGGAAAAAGGAAGGACAAAGGATAAGAGCAGACACCAGAATAAAAACAGATTTACAACTGTAAAGTGTGGAGGAGAGGAGAGCAAGGAAGAGCTGCTCCCCCACCTCCTGCCTCAAGTGGGAGCCAAGAGAGGACTCCTGCAGAGTGAGACAGCAAGAGCAGGCCTTGCTTCTCTGGCTTCCATGCCACCTATGAGTAAGGATCCACAGCCCTGGGTGTTGCTGACAAGATCTCTCCAAAGACCATCAGCACTAATCTCATTATGCCTTTTATTCCTACTTAAATCTGTCACAAGAAGTCTACAACTTCCAGATCATCCCTTCTAAAAAGGTGAGCATTTCCCACCCTTCCTCAACAATGAAGCTTTTCTACACATTAGTCAGTCATAAGCAGTCACTGGCAGCCATTAACAAAATCCCCCGTATCCACTCACCTGCTACTTTGAGTCTCACCGAAACCTGGTTCTCCTCTGAGGATACTGCTTCCTCTGTACCCCTTTAAGGTGGTGAATTTTCCTCTCCCAGAGTCTGTCCTTCTTGCTACTCACTGCCAACTCCAGTCCACTGGCTGGCCCTCCTCCCCCAAACCCCCAACTCTGAATATCATGTACCAGGTGATACCACCACCTACCCCTCTTTACTGCAGACATCTAATGACTGTAGTCACTCCCCTCACTTACTGAAGAGCTAAGCTTTGGCTCAGTGCTGCCCTCTCCAATACTAACTTGTCATAGTTCTTGGTGATTTCAATAGCCACACAGATGACCCTTCCAACACTCTGCTCCACTCAGTTAAGGAAGTGCTCCACTATTTTTCCATTGTAAAGGCATATTTTTTCCTTTGTAATGATAGTAATTTGTGGAGTGTGTGAATATTCTGTTTCCCAACATTACCTGGTTAGCCTTCATTGGTGATCGCCTGCTTGAGCCTGTTATATTGTTGGTTGCAAACTGCTGATTCTTCTACTTCATTCTAGTTGTTATACCCATATACCTGTTATCTGCCTCCTTAATATTTACCCTTAAGGAATGAAACTCCTGATGGTACTATACCGTATAACCTAACGTAAAAACATAGGACATTTAAATAGCCTAAACTAAAATTCCTCTTAAAAACAAATCAACCAAACCATACTCCAGCAAGTGTTAGTGATCAAGAGTACTTATTTTTCTGAAGCACTTAATATTTTGGAGATTCAAGACATAGAAAAACCAATGAATGACACGGTGTAATCTCATACTGGCATTGTGTGACTTCCTGAAGTATAACATCACAAAAGTCCTAAGGTTCGTGGTAATTGTTACTGAGAACATATATTTCTTAAGACACAAATCTAACGAAATACACATATGATGTGAATAATACTGTGCAGCTCGTAAGGTACCTTCATAAGTACTCATATTAAGCAAGAAAGGTATTAATAGTCGCACTACCCAAATAAGTAAACTGAGGTCCTATAAGATTAGTTTACTTTTCTCAATTAACATATCTAATATGTAAAAGACTCTTTACGTTTACAAACACAATTGCATGTAAGGACATGCCAAGGATTCACAGGTAACAACAACCTATCTTGGGCCTTCAAAAATACTACAGTTAGCCCAACCAGTGTGGCTCAGTTGGTTGGAGCATCGTCCTATATACTGAAAGGTTGTGGGTTCGATTCCTAGTTAAGCACATACCTGGGTTGCAGGTTCAATTCCTAGAACAGGAGGCAACTGATCAATGTTTCTCTCTCATATCAGTGATTCTTTCCCTGTCTCTCTCTCCCTTCCCCATCTATAAAATCAGTGAGCATGTCCTTGGGTGAAGATAAAAAAAAAAAAAAAAAAAAA